ATTTGATAAAACAAATAAATAGATAATTTGATAAAACAAATAAATAGAATTACTGGGTTATGCGTTGAGCAGTTCAAATCCACCAGTGGCTCTGAAGGAGAAAGATGAGACTTTCTGCTCCCATAAAGATTTACAACCTCAGAAATCCTACACATGTTCTTGGAACCAACTTGATGGCATACCACCACCATCAATAAGCACATAAGTAATTTAAAAAAAATCTTAAACCTATTACTTATGTTAAAACCATATATATTTATAATGTAAGGAATTTTTAGAAATTTATTTCAAAAGACATTTCTCATTAAATTGCTTTTTAATCTTAATGTAATTGCAATCACAGTATTGTCATAGAAACTGACAAGCCAATTTCAATATTAATATAGAAGAGACAAAAAATGGTGAAGACATTGTTGAAGAAAAAGTGGAGGGGCTTTCCATTCTGCATATATTAAGATATATACTGAAATGGCAACAGTGTATTATTGTGAAGAAGGATCAAAAGGATTAATGAAATTAAATAATGAACCAAAAAAAAGATGGACACACATGTGGAAACTCGTGTGTCAGAGTTGTCCTTGCACATTGCTGTTTTTGTTAAGTGTTTCCGAGTCAGTTCCAACTCATATCAACCCTGTATAAGGTTTCCTGAAAGAAATACATATGTGTCTGTGAGAAAAAGAGTGATGTGGATACATATAATAGTAATATCTGATGCTGTAGGATAAAACACAGAACCTCAAGATTGGTTTGAGCCACAAGGTCAATGGTTAAAACTTACCAACCGCTCCTTAGAAACCCTAAATTGGGTCGCTATAGGTTGGAAGTAACTTAATAGCACTTAACAACATCAATATCAAAATACAAGGGTCAGCCAAAAACTATTGATAAAAATTTATAGAAGTTTATTTTTAAAAACAAAAATGTCAAAATCAAAATGAAATGTGAAGCTATTGTTTCTTGACACAGCTACCATCTGGGTTTCAACATAGCCTCCATATACTTCTGAAGGTGGAGTTTCCATTTCTCTAAATCTTCATTGAAGAATTCTGTACACTCTGATTTACACAATGTCCAGATGACAGTTTTGGTGTGCTCAGGGGAATCAAATACTGTTCTTTAAAATGTTCTTTCAGATTTGGAACAAAATCTGAAGGGACAAGATCAGGGATGTACAGGGTATATTTACCCAATAAAAATCTCATAAGACAACTCTTTCTACCCTCAAAGAATGAGCAGGTACATTGTGATAATGGCCAAAAAAAAAAAAAAAAAAAAATTCCTTGTCACAATATTCCTGATCTTTTCCTCACCATTGCAGTTTTTAATTGTATTAAAACTTCTTACTAATAAACCCACATGATCATCCAATGTCCTTTGAGGAAATCTATCAAAATCACTTTTTAGAAATCTCAGACAAAAGTCACATAACCTTTAGAGCTGACCTCTCTGGTTGAATTTAACTTGCCTAGCAGATCACCTTAGAAAGCACTGTTTTAATTGGACTATTTTTGAAGGTCCTCTAATGAAACTAAAGACAAGTGTATTACTGGGGGAAATTGTCTGCAGCCACTGATCAGAGACCTGTTTAAACATGTTTTATTTGGAATAAACCCGTGCATGTATGAACTGGATCCCTTAAACAATACTTCTTGACTTTTCCTCATAAACACTTATATGAGGTTGGATGGCATTAAAAGTCTTATAAGATACATCTTTGCTCAAAAATGTAGTTAGTGGGATGCATTTGGTCCCTACCCTTCAAAGTTAAACAAAAAAAGGAAAAAATGATCTGGATTAATTTATTTTGAATCTCCAAGTCTGATTATACTCTATATATTATGCAAACATTTAAAATATTTGGTCTGATCTCTAGAATGTCATAACCAAATAGATTATGTCACTGTGGATTATAGGTGTGGTACTGCAGGGTAAGTGTTTGACTATTAATCTCAAGGATTGCCACCGAAACCCACCAGGTGCTCTTTTGAAACCCTGCTCTGAGTCGGAATCAGCTCAGTGGCACTTGGCAGCAGTAATAGTAATAAATATTTAGATTACAGAAAGCATAGCCCAAAAATTTATTTCATTTGGGTTTAGAAATCTGTGTTTTGGTTTTACCATACAGATATTATTGAATGGTATTGTAATCATAAAACAAAAACACAAATCTGCTGTCATCAAGTAATATCCTACTCACAGAAACCCTAAGGATTTCTTACACTATAAATCTGTATGGGAGCAGACAGCCACATTTTTTTTTCCTATGGTGGGTTTGAAATGCTGACCTTGTGGTTAGCAGTATTGTGCTTATCCTATAGCATACATCTTTTAATGTGACGTGTAATTTATATTTAAAGTGTCTTATCTAGACTCCACAGCACATAACTACCATCTATAGTATTGAACATAGCAATAAATACCTAACAAGCTCTTCAGTAAATTCTGCTGCATAGTGATTCTATGTGTGCAGAGTAAACTGCTTCATAGTTTGTTCAAAGTTGTGATCTTTCTGGAACAATGAACAAACTTTTCTTTCAGGATGCCTCTTAGTACATTCAAACCACTACCTTCCAGTTAATCCTAACCACTCATGCCACATATTAATCACATAGTTTAAGAAGGATCACAGTGACTGCAAAATAGAACTGTGTTAATCCTTATGGAAATTGGTTTTGGAACTGAGTTTTAATTTAATTATGTTTATACTCATAGAAGACTTCAGAATAATAAAAGACAATGCTGGCATTGATAGCTTTATTTTCTTCTGTCCTCTAGTGCTGTTTTAGTTCTTTGATTTGATCACTTAACTCATTCTGCTTTGATTTAGTGTAATTTTTGTTGACAAGCCCCTCCCTTCTACCACATCGTAAACTTCTAATGGGAGGATCCTGTCTCATTCATCTTTCAGTATTCCACAGCTTCTCTTAATAATTAGTCATTCATTGAGCTCTCATATCTGAAAAGAATAAAGATTTTTTAAGTGTGCTTTTTAAATTTCTTTCAGAAATTTTACACAACTACATAAAAATGAAGAAGACACAGAAATTTTAAAAAATCTGAAGACTCAGTGGACTTCTTTGGGCCTGGAAGACGTACAGTTGATGAATTACTCTGTGCTGCTTAATCTACCAGGCCCTTCTCCCAGCACCGTAACTCTGAAGAGCAGCAGCCAATGCTTTCATCCTAATGGCCAGCCATGTGACAAAGAAGCCAGAAAAGATAGCAGCCAAGATCTGCTCTACTCATATGCAGCCTATTCTGCCAAAGGAACTCTCGAGGTAATGTGACCATTTGTCTCTGTCATTTACAGTGAAATGGAATTAGAAAACAGCAGCTTTCATCAAATGAACTAACTGGCAAGATGCAACATAACAAAAGTGACCATTAAATGTCCTCAGTGTGGAGGTGTTAGGAAAGGAGAAGAGCGATTTGAATTGCCTAACCCTTTCTTGCCATAGTTTGAAAGTAAAAACATGTTGTTGTTAAGGGTCATCAATTCAATTTCGACTCATAGCGACTCTCTATGGGGTTTCCAAGGAGGAGTTAGTGGGTTTGAACTGTCGAGCTTGTAATTTGCAGTCCACTGTTGATCATATAAGGATACAGTTTAATTCAGAGGTGTTGGATATGTGGCTAAGTCATTCAGATTTTATTCTATATAAGTTCATTTAACACTATGGTTTTAAAGAGAGAAATTGTAATACATTGAGATGAATATAAAGAATAAAAATGGAGAGGGTGATGTTTTTAGATTATGAATGAACACAGGAGTCCTGGTGTGGTGCTGTAGGATAAGCACTGGACTGAAAGGTCTGTTTGAACCAAAAGATCAGTGGTTCAAACTTAAAAACTACTCCTTGGAAACCCAATACAAGGTCGCTATAAGTTGGAACCAACTAGATGGCACTTAACAACAACAGCAATGCACAGTGGAAATGAGGTGAAAAGTTCATGTGATTATTAATATAACAGATTTTAAAAACATGGACTGGGTGGCTACGTGTTGACTGATTCTTTACTTTTCCTGATTGGGTCTGTGTGTGTGCTTGTGCCATGCTTTTGTTGTTGCTATTGTTTTACATAGTAAAACATAGTTAATTGCCCAGCCTCTGGCAACAACCTAAACAACCTAGTAGTAGTAATACGTACCCTCAAGTTGCTGTTGTTGTTAGGTGTCACTGAGTCAGTACCGACTCATAGCGACCCTATGCACATCAGAACAAAATACTGACCAATCCTGAGCCAACCTCAGAATCATTGTTAACCTTTAGCCCATAGCTGCAGCCACTGTTCCAATCCATCTCATCTGGGGTCTTCCTCTTTTTAGTCAACCCTCCACTTTACCAAACATGATATCCTTCTCCGGTGACTGGTCCCTTCTAACAATATAGCTGAAGTATGAGAGACAAAGTCTGGCCATCCTGACTTTCAGAAGCACTCTGGCTGTACTTCGTCCAACACATATTGGTTTGATACTTTGGCAGTCCATGGTACTTTCAGTATTCTCCTCCAATACCATAACTCAAGTACACCAATTCTTCTACAGTCTTCCATAGTCATTGTCCAATTTTCACATGGATATTGCAAAATATTCATGCAAAAATATTGATGTTGTGAAATATTGATGATGCGAAAATATTGATATTGAAAATATCATGGCTTGGGTCAGGTACCTTAGTCCTCAAACTGACATCTTTGATCTTTAACACCTTAAAGAGGTCTTGTGCAGCAGATGTGCCCAATGTAATATGTCATTTGATTTCTTGAATGCTACTTCCAAGAGGGTTGCTGGTTGACACCAGCAAAATGAAGTATGAAGTCTTTGACTACTTCAATCTTTTATCAATTTGTAGGAATATTGGTTATTGGTCTTTATCAGTAATTATTTTAAGTCCTCTTTGCTTTCAGCAAGCAAAGTTGTATCATCTGCGTATTGCAGATTGTTAATGAGTCTTCCTTCAATCCTGATACCATGTTTTTCTTCATATAGTCCATATTCTTATATTATCAGCATACAGATTGAATAGGTATGATGAAAGAATACAACCCTGATGCACACCTTTCCTAATTTTAAACCGTTCTGTGTTTCCTTGTTCTATTTGAACAACTGCATCTTGGCCTATGTACAGGTTCCTCCTGAGCACAATTAAGTGTTCCAGAATACTCATACTTTGCAATATTGTCCATAGCTTGTCATGATCCACACAATCAAAAGTGATATAGTCAATAAAACTCAGGTAGACATCTTTCTGGTATGCTCTGCTTTCACCCAAGATCCATTTGATGTCAGCATTGATGGCCCTTGTTCCACATCCTCTTCTGAAGATGCCTTGAACCTCTAAAAGTTGTCTTTCAGTGTATTGTTGCCACTGTTTTTGGATTACCTGTAGTAAAACTTTACTCACATGGGCTATCAATGACGATTTTCACATTCTATTGGGTTACCTCTCTTTAGACTGGGCACAAATATGGATTTCTTCCAGTCATTTGGCCAGATAGGTTTCTTCCAAATTTCTTGGAGTAGATGAGTGAGTGCCTCCAATATTTTGTTAATTTTTTGAAAGGTTTCAATTCGTATTTCATCAATTGCCGGTTCATCAATTCTGTTTTTTCTGCTATTTCCTTCTGTGCACCTTGGACTTCTTCCTTTAGGATCATTGGCTCTTAATCATTTGCTACCTCTTGAAATGGCTGAACATCAAGAGGAATGGCATCAAATTCCTTTTTGGTACAGTGACACATCATGTTCCTTTGGTATAGTGTAGCCCTTCCATCCACTACTCGTCTGTCACTTTGTCATACTGTGGTGGCTTGTGAGGTGCTGTGATTCTAAGAGCTCTGCCACTGGTATTTTAAATGCCAGCAGGGTCATCCATGGTGGACAGGTTTCAGATGAGCTTCCAGATGAAGACAGACTAAGAAGAAGGAGTGATGAACTACTTCTGAATATTTAGTCACTGAAAACCTAATAAATAGCAGAGAAACACTGTCAGATATAGTGCCATAAAATGAGCCCCTCAGGTTGGAAGCCACTCAAACTGCAACTGGGGAAGAGCTGCCTCCTCAAAGTAGAGTTGACCATGATGATGCGAATGGAGTAAGCCCAATAGAGAAAAGCCTGTGGGACCTTCATTTGTTGAGGGGCACAACTCAAAATGAAAAGAAACAGCTGTAAACATCCATTGAAAATTGGAACATGGAATTTACGAAGTATGAATCAGGAAAAATTAGAAGCTGTCAAAAATGAAATGGAACACATAAACATTGATATCTTAGGCATTAGTGAGCTGAAATGGACTGATATTGGCCATTTTGAATCTGATGACCACATGGTTTTCTATGCTTGGAATGACAGATTGAAGAGGAATGGTGTTGCCTTTGTTGTCAAAAATAATATATCCAAATCAGTCATGAGGTACAATGCTGTCTGTGATAAGATAATATCCATGCACATACAGGGAAGCCCAGTTAATACCACTATTAACAACTAAAGTCAGTGAGGATGAAATTGAAGAATTCTACCAACTTCTTCTATCTGAAATTGATCAAACATGCAATCAAGGTTTATTGATCATTACTAGAGGAAGGATCAGTAGTTGGAAGATATGGCTTTGGTGATAGAAATGATGCTGGAGAACACATGATAGAATTCTGCAAAATCAATGATTTGGTCATTTCAAATACCTTCTTTAGACAGCATAAGAGACAACTATACACATGGGCATCACCAGATGGAATACAAATAAATCAAATTGACTACATTTGCGGAAAGAGACAATGGAAAAGCGCCATATCAGTGAAAACAAGGTAAGGGGCAGACTGTGGAACAGACAATTAATTACTCATTTGCAAATTCAAATTGAAGCTGAAGAAAATGAAAACAAAACCATGAGAGCCAAAATGTGTCCTTGAATATATCCCAACTAAATTTAGAGCTCATCTGAAGAATAGATTTGATACATTAAACACTAAAGACTGAAGACCAGAAGAGTTGTGGGATGACATCAAGAACATCATACATGAAGAAATCAAAAAGTCATTAAAAAGACAAGAAAGAAGGAAAAGGTCAAAATGGATGTCAGAAGAAACACTGAAACTTGCTCTCCAGCATAGAGATGCTAAAGGAAATGGAAGAATTGAGCATGTCCAAGAGCTGAACAGAAAATTTCAAAGATCAGTGCAATAGATAAAGCCAAATATTACAACAAAATGTGCAAAGATCTGTAATCAGAAAACTAAAAAGGAAGAATACACTCATCATTTCACAAGCTGGGGGAACTGAAGAAAAAATTCAAGCCTCTACTTTTGTTATTGAAGGATTCTCTGGACAAATTATTGAATGATGCAGAAAGGATCAAAAGAAGATGTAAGGCACAGAGTCACTGTGCCAAAAGGAAATAGTGAATGTTCAACTGTTTCAAGAGGTAGCATATGATCCAAAGCCAATGATACTGAAGGAGGAACTCCAAGGTGCATTGAAGGAACTAGCAAAGAATAAGGCAAAAGTAATTGATGGAATAAAAATGGAAATCTTTCAAGAAAGTGACCGGCACAGGAGACACTCCCTTATCTCTGCCAAGAAATTTGGGAGACAACTATGTGGCTGACTGATTGGAAGGGAACCATATTTGTTTCCATTCCAAAGAGAGGTGACCCAACGGAATGCAGATATCATTGGACAATCTCTTTGATATCCCAGGAGAGTAAAGTATTACTTAAGGTAATACAGGAATGGCTGCAAGCATACATTGATAGAGAACTTCCAGAGGTTCAAGTTGGATTCAGAAGAGGCCGTGGAATGAGGGATATCATTGCTGATATCCAATGGATCTTGGCAGAAAGCAGAGAATATCAGAAAGATGTTTACCTGTGCTTTATTGACTATGCAAAGGTTTTCGATTGTATGGATCATGACAAGCTATGGTCAACATTGCGAAGTATGAGTATTCCAGAACACTTAATTATGCTTATGAGGAATCTGTACCTGGACCAAAAAACAGTTGTTTGAACAGAACATGGGAACACTGAATGGTTTAAAATTAAGAAAGGTGTGCAACAAGGTTGTAACCTTTCACCATACTTATTCAACCTGTATGCTGAGCA